AGTTTGTATAGCATTAAATAAACATTTCCTTTCCTTTTCACTAATCTCTGGCATTGAGAGACATCTTTCCTATAGACAGCGGACTTAACAGACCTGGAGGCTTCTTTCAGTAATAGTATATCATCCCAAGGCCCCCCTTGTTTGTTTTGTAACACTATTACATTATAACTTGTTTCTGTAAATAAAGTTTTATTTGAACACAACTACAGTCATTCATGTATGTATTGTCTGCAAAGCCTAAATTACTTACAATCTGAGCCTGTACAGAAACTTTGTCAACCTTTGATTTAAACAATGAGTTATTGGTAAAGAAGTAGACAAATATATTGAAAAAAAACAGAATAGGTTGTCTTGAAACAAATTTAAATTCCTCATATTTATCAGAAATTCAATTGTTGATAAATATAATATTTCAAGACAGTGGTGGGGGGAATATGGGCTAATTTGTTAATAGAGTTGCAATAATTTACTAGCCATTGATAAAAATAAAACTAGAATTCTATTTTACACCATCCACAATGTTTTTTTTTTAAACCGAAAACCAAAAACTAAGAGACTTAGACTAAAATAGAAACATTGTTAGAATATTGGTGCAGGGAAGATTTTCTTTAATCTCTGAAAAAGATTAAACACTTTGCTAGTATAAAAGGTACATAAATAAAGTTACAAGAAAACAGCTGTATTACATATAATAAACACATGAATAAGCTATAAGAAGTCCCTACAAATAATTTTTAAAATTGGGATATGAATGGGCAACAACTATCAATGGATGAGTTGCAAAGGAAAAACAGTTCACACTAAAACTCAGAGGAAATTGGAGAAATGCAAATAAAAACAATGAGACAGCAAAGTTTCACCCAGAAACAAGGATAAAAAGCCAGATAATATTAAACACTGGCAAAGATGCATGAAAATGTACTCTTGAAATATAATCAAGGGTAATTATGGCTTCTGATGCCCCTGGCACGACAGTTGCTGTTCTAGGCATCAGCACTGGAGACATTCAAAGAGGCATCTACAAAAAACTGTGTTGAAACAGTGTTATAACAGGCAACCATGAACAACCTGAATGTTCATCAAAAGGAGCTTGATTCAATAAATTAAAGCAAATTCATACTATGAAATATTTTGCTGCTCTTAAAAAGAACGAAGAAAATATATATTCACAAATACATATATCCAAATACACTTTGTTATGAAAATAAAAATCAACTCTTAGAATAGAATTTATTATGATAATTATAGTAAATAATTATTTCAATTATTCACTTGAGAAAGTTGTGACAATATTTAGCAATGATATTTATATATTGTGGGTATCTGGAAAAAATCAACTCTTAGAAAAAATGACTTTAGTACTATACCATTTATGAGTTTTAAAAACAGCATATGCAAACACAATCAGAAATGAAAGAGGAGAGATTACAACTGATACCACAGAACTACAAAGGATTGTAAGAAATTACCACAAAGAAATATATTCCAAGAAATTTGAAAACCTAGGTGAAATGGAGAAATTTCTAGAAAAATATAATCTTCCAAAATATAATGAAGAAGAAGCAGAATGCCTAAACAGACCAATAACAGCAGATGAAATTGAAGCAGTAATCAAAAAGCTTCTACACACAAAACCCTTGCCCAGATGGTTTCACAGAATTACAAAGCATTTAAGGAAGAGCTAACCCCTATTGTTCCCCCAAAATTCAAGAAGATGGAAGACTCCCAAATTCTTTTCATGAAGCCAGCATCATCCTAATCCCAAAACCAGATAAAGGCATAATAAAGAAAGAAAACTTCAGGCCAATATTGCTGATGAATATAGACGCTAAAACCCTCTACAAAATATTGGCAAATCACATCCAATACGTTAAAAAGATCATACACCATGATCAAGTGGGATTCATCCCAGGGATGCAAGGATGGTACAATATTTGCCAATCAATAAATATAATACATCATGTAAACAAAAGACAAACACCACATGATCATATCAATCGATGTGGCAAAAGCATTTGATAAGGTACAGCACCCATTTATGATAAAAACACTCAGCAAAGTGGGAATAGAGGGAATATTCCTCAACATAATAAAGGCCATATATGACAGACCTACAGCCAACATCATACTCAATGGGCAAAAACTTTCAGCTTTCCCACTAAGATCAGGAACAACACAAGAATGCCTGCTTTCACCACTCCTATTCAACATAGTATTGGAAGTCCTAGCCACAGCAATCAGACAAGAAAAAGAAATAAAAGGCATTTAAATTGGAAAGGAGGAAGTAAAACTGTAGCTGTTTGCAGATGATATAGTGTACACAGAAAACCCTACAGACTCTACCAATAAACTACTCAATCTAATATGTGAATTTGGCAAAACAGCAGGATACAAAGTCAATATCCAGAAATCAAAGGCATTTTTATACACCACCAATGAAATATCAGAAACAAAAATCAGGGAGAAAATCCCATTTGATATAGTAACAAGAAAAATAAAGTACCTAGGAATAAACCTAACCAAGGAGGTAAAGATATGTACTCAGAAAACTATACAACAGTGAGGAAAGAAATGAAGGAAGACACAAACAAATGGAAGAATGTACCATGTTCATAGATTGGAAGAATTAACATAATCAAAATGTCTACACTACCCAAAGAGAACTTAAAGATTCAACATAATCCCTATTAAAGTTCCAATGGCATATTTCAGATACAGAAAAAAATTTCAGAAATTTATATGGAACCATAAACAACCCTGAATAGCTGCAGCAATTTGGAGAAAGAAGAACAAAATAGGAGGGATCACAATACCTGATATCAAATTGTATTACAAGGCTACTATAATCAAAACAGCCTGGTAGTGGCATAAGAATAGGCCCATAGACCAATGAAACAGAACAGAAAGCCCAGAAATAAACCCAAGGATCTATGGTCAGTTCATATTTGACAAAAGGGGCAAAAGCATAAAATGGAGTAAAAATAGCCTCTTCAACAAATGGTGCTGGGACATCTGGACAAATACATGCAAAAAATGAAACTCAACCACCAACTTACACCATACACAAAAATAAACTCAAGGTGGATAAATGGCACCATAAAAGTATTAGAGGAAAACATCAGCAGGAAAATCTCAGACATTCCACATGGCAACATCTTCATAGACATGTCCCCTAAAGCAAGGGACATAGAGGAAAGAAAAAACAAATGGAACTGTATAAAATTAAAAAGTTTCTGAATGGCTAAAGAAAACAGCATTAAAATGAAAAGAGAACCAACTATATGGGAAAACATATTTGCCAATGATACCTCAGACAAGGGTTTGATCTCCAGAATATATAAAGAATGCATACAACTCCACTCCAGTAAGACAAAAAGCCCAGTTAAAAAATGGGCAAAAGACTTGAACAGACATTTCTTCAAGGAGGACATAGAGAGGGTCCAGAGACATATGAAAAGATGCTCAGCATCACTAGCTATCAGAGAGATGCAAATTAAAATCACAATGAGATACCACTTCACAACAGTGAGAATGGCCATCATAAACAAAGCAACAAATAATTGTTGGAGAGGATGTGGAGAAAAGGGAACCCCAGTGCACTGTTGGTGGGAATGGTGCAGCCACTGTGGAAAACAGTATGGAATTTCCTCAGAAAACTAAAAATGGAACTGCCTTTTCACCCAGCAATTCCACTGCTGGGATTACATCCTAAGAACCCTGGAACACCAATCCAAAAGAACCTATGGACCCCAATGTTCATAGCAGCACAATTTACAATAGCTAGGTGCTGGAAGCAACCTAAGTGTCCATCAGTAAATGAATGGATCAAAAAACTATGGTACATTCACACAATGGAATACTATGCAGCAGAGAGAAAGAAGGAGCTCCTACTCTTTGCAACAGTATGGATGGAATTGGAGAGCATTATGTTAAGCAAAATAAGCCAGGCAGTGAGGGACAAATACCATATGATCTCACCTTTAATTAGAACATAATCAACAAAAGAAAAAAGCAGACAAAATGTAACCAGAGACATTGAAATTAAGAACAATCTAACAATAACCAGGAGCGGGAAGGGGACAATAGGGAGAAGGGTTTTCAGGAACTACTGTAAAGGACACATGGACAAAACCAAAGGGTAGGGTGGAAGCAAGGGAGGGGAGTTGGGTTTGGCTGTGGCCAGGGGGTAGTGGTGGGGGAAAATGCAGACAACTGTAATTGAAAAACAATAAAATAATTTAAAAAACAGCATATGCACATATATTTATATATAATGCACAGAGAGAATGCTTGAAATGCTATATACAAAACTCTTGACTGTAATCTCTAGGTAGGGAAACAAAATCTGGATGAAGGTGCTGGAACTTTCATGTTTTGCTCCTTCTATTTGCATAATTTCATCTTTATAATGAGTATGAAGTTTTATGTTAGTTGTATTCAAATAAACATATTAGGTTTATGTATGATATATTTTGATATTTTTAATATATTTAATAGACTTAAATATATTTTGTGGCTAATTTTTTTGTACACTTTTCTTTAGAAAACATGGAAATCCTTTCTTTTAAAGTCCTAGATAGTATTTTATGCTTTATAAAACATATCTAAGAGAAATTAAATACTACATATCCTCAATTCTAAGACACTGATTTTAAGACTCATCATTAATTCAATAACAGTTTATCAGGAAACAAAAACAAGCATACAATCACATTGAATGTGCAAAATTAGTGTAAGATGAATTTCAACTTCACAAATGTTTTAAGATAAAATGACAGTATAATATGCATCACATTTTGTGTTAAATATGTAAGGTAGGTAAGTAAAATTGCAATCTTGATTTTCTCCTTTGATGAATAAATATATGTTTGCAATATTTTGAAAATGAGATCCACATACCTCTGGCAAGAAAGGAAAGGACAATCAAAGGAGAACCCACTGTCCATGAAAAATCTCCGCATGAATAGAGCATATTGCTCCTGAGTGACACAACATCTTACCTTATTTGGAAATGAAAATTTGCTTGCTTCCACTTTGCCAGGTGCCTGAATAGCAGAGAGTGGTGGAAGCCAGGTCATCTCCTGAAGGGAAGAAAATCAAATAGCATTGTTATACACAGAGTGTTTAAAGTCAGTAGCATGTAAATCAGCTATATGTCTGCCTTGATAAGGCATGGAAGGGGTAAAAAAATGAAAAAGAGACGAATAAGGAATAAAAGGGAATTTTAAAAAAAGAATGTGAAACTCACTTTCATATTTTCCCCCCTAATTTTACCAATTTCTGGTTCTGCAGCTATCCCTATGCCCCCTTTATACCTTAAAAATGTCTACAAGGTTGTCCTATTTTCATTTCAAATAAGCTCCAGAGTAAAGGGACAACCCAGTGGTAAAAGTCGTATGGATAAAGCTGTACAAATGGGGCCGCTTCTCTGGGACTTGATCCCACAAATTGCACAGGGTGTTTCTGAAGGACTGCATAAAGCACTTTCAATGTTGGGAATCATTATTACAGGACTTATTTCATTAGGAACTCGTATTAGTCAGAGTGTCCAATAAGCCCCAACACATTACTTTGGTCTTTATAAAAACATCATTCATGGAGAAGTGAAAACAAAAATCACACATATGAAACAAAGAGAATGTTGTGATGTTTATAACAGTATTAAAAGACAACTTTAGCTCAACATGCAATATTCTGTCATATGCTTTCTGACATACACTTTCGCTACGCTGTGAGAGGAGGGGTCCTTTTAGTCACTTCCAGTATTCTCCGTCAGTTCCATCTCCTGGAAGATATCTGCATTCACTAAATGACTGTGGAATTAAATTGAATCAATTTCTGATTGACAGGAAACTGACTTAGAATTTACAAACAGGTCTGAACCCTATTTCTTGATTTATATACTTCCCAACATAAGCAAGCATATAAAAGGTCCATTTTGAGAGAAGTGAGAAATTCTCTCTTTAGGTGAAGACATTTCCTCACCTCCCTTGGTTGGTGGTGGGTGGTGTTGAAAAGGATACTGTCAGGTTTTGGGAGTGAAAGTTTCTTGAGATGATCTTGGGTCTTCTTTCCTTAGGTAACTCCTCCCCTAGCACCTCAGATGCAGACCCGCATGGGGAATGCATGTATTCAAGCCCTTCTTGGAAGGGTTTACTGACCCTACATCATCTCCTGCCCACCATGACACCTGTACCAGAGGTGGGTTAAGCTCATATGCACCTGCAGGGTCCCTTCTCCATGCTGCTCGTACCAAAGTTTCTCTAATAGAAAGCAAAGGAAGACCCAGTGACCCTTAATATTCCTCTTACCTCACTCCCCAAGTGTCTGCACATCCTATCCTGTGTCTCTACCCCCTGTGTTGTCTCTTTTGTGAGGATTATGTCAAGGAACAAAGTGAGTACCCAGCTCATTTTTGAATGAATGGAAAATTAAATAGTATCTCTGAAATGTGTTCACCTTTCTTTCCGGTTACATGAACTACCACCCTAATCACACCTTCAATTATTTGTAACCTGGGTTACTTTAGGAGCTTCCTGATTGGTTCTCTTTCTTCTGTCATTATTAAGCCATCCTTCAGACATCTGTCAACTCATTTTTCCTAGAGTGCAGACTGAAATGAAAGTGCCACTTCTTCAATATTGATATAGACCAATGTAACAACAATGATGACAATGGCAATGATGCCTCCTGTTGTGCTTGACAGTTTCAGAATACTGCCAGCAAGTTTTCCAACCTTTAAAGTAATTATTATTATATCCATATTGGAGATGAGGAAATTAAAGCTCAAAAAGATTAAGTGATTTGCTCAAGTTCACGCAGTTCACAAATGCCACGACTGAAGTGTTCACACAAATCTTCCTCCCAATCCAGTGTTTGTTTTTCATTCTACTGCATTTCCCCCCAAAACAAATAGTATTCAAGACATTCTACAACAAGGTCCCAGTTGTCAGCCTGGTGTCTTTTTTTAATCTACACATGTACTATGGATAAGAAAAACTACAGTCTCTGCTCTTACTTACACTGCCCCCTTTGCGTGTGAATGCCCTACCCCTGTATGCTGTTTTGGAGTTCTATTCATCCATTAGGGCTCATCTCAAACATCATTTATGTCATGGGGCCTTAGTTGATTCCCCTTCTATTCCAATACAGTATGACAGTTCCCTTCTCATGCTCCTCCAAAGCACCTTCTCTGTCTCATTGTAACTCAGATTCTTTTTCTTTGTTTAGTTTTATAAGTATACACCTCTATCTGAACTTAACTATTCTGCTTTCTTCTGTTACCCTTTCCCCAATGCAGAATAAAAATCATACTATGGAATACCAATAATCTCTTTCAAGAGTATTCAGTTTTACTAAACATAATCTCCAAATAGGAACCCTAATAATTTCTTTCAATAATATTCAGATTTTTTAAACATATCCTTTAAAGACGAACTACAGATTTCTTCAAAGGGATACTGTCTACTCATCTATGTCTATGAAGCCTCTTATAGACTAAGTGCTCAAAATTAACTTGTTGAATTAAACCAAACACCCATATTTCAGTGCAAAATTGCTCACTGACATTACTTTCATTACTTTAATCCTATCAAAGCATTTTGATGTAATTTTCTACATAATTAGTGCTGCTTTATATATGAAGGAATAATAAAGACAATAAGGTGGCTTGAAACATTTAAATGTTAGAATTTTTAAAAACAGAATTAGTTACATGAACTATTAAATATTTGTTTTTAATGAATATGCAATGCCTTTTTAAGACTGATTATTCATTACATTAAAATTCTCCATTAGGGTTGCATGGAAAAATTATGGGCAAGTAGACTATTTCTACTTCCTCTTCTGTCACTTACTAGCTCAGTGAGCTTAGGTTAAGTCACATCTTCAGTAACTTGTAGTGATTTCAAAGAATGGGCTTTGGAATCAATCAGATCTCATTTTGTGCTATCTTAGAACCAAAGAAATAAAGGTTCTAACTAGTTCATGGTTTAATCATGAGCATTAAATGAGATTATACATAGAAAATAGCATGGTCCTCTTATGGTTAGCCATTCAATAAAATACTGATTAATATCAAGTTGAGTTTCAGAATTCTTATCTCTAAAACAAGAAATAGAATTTCTCTCTGAGCTTTAGATGGGAAAGTGTTTTTTATGGAAGAATGAATTATTATGCCAATGTAATTTGTAATTAAGCTAGCAATTACTAATACAAACTATATATTTCTAAAACATAAAGTTATTTAAAGAGATTATTATGATTCTTAAGTATGATATATACTTTACATTGGACAAAATGTCCCTAAGTGTTCTCATGGGAATGAATCCCTGACAAAATAATAGTAGTCAGTGAGATAAAATTTGATTAAGAGGTCTTTAATTAGTACTTTAATGTAAGCAAAGAGGAACATTTCATAACTGCTGAAATTTCCCTTGGTTTGCCTCACTTCACAAGGAAAGAGTTCTATTTTTCTGAAAGGCTAGTGTATGCACCGTCCCTACCACTGCCCATGCTCCGGACCTCCCTGCCTCAACCACTCCTTCATTGCTGCCTTACACCTCTGTCCTCCACTTGGGTGTCTTTTGATCACACATCCTGGACCACAGGTAAGACAGGAAGAGAAATAAAATGTTTAAAGCCAAGTATTCCAAAGTCTAGGTGGCTACCTCCTGACCTTATAAACTCTTCTAACACTTCTTTGATCTGTCTGCCTTCCTTCCTTTTTGATTTTCTTGTCACTTAGGAATGAGGTCACACACTATACCCACCATTGAGAGGTCCTCAGTTTTGAGCCTAGCTTCCTTAGCCAACTGACAAGATTAAGAATGAACATATCTGTTAACACAGCCTCACCAGTCCCAGCTCTAAGCAGATGTCCTGTTACCCAAGGGACACATTTCAGGGTGTCTTCTCATTTCATAGGCGTAAAATGCCAAGTCCCTTTATAGCAAATACACTCAGTTTTCTCCTAAGAACAGATGGTTAAATGATAAGAGTATAGAATACTGCATTTCACTAACTGTCCAGTTTTTTCTCCATTCCCCCAATTTTCAGAAGGCTAGGACACATGTATGCAGTTTCCATTTTCACATCTATTGTGTAGCTAGCATGACCATGAGTTCCCCAAATCCACAATTTCAAGATGAGTAGACTGCTCCATGTAGCTACTCATGTACACTGATGTCACCTGCATCAACCTGTTTTAGGACAAATGGTTGATGCTTAGAACATCCATTTACTAAGCAGTGTAGGTCTTTGTAATTTAAAGAGAGAAGAAACAAAAATTGAATTTTAACCTTATATCTAATCATAGAGTTCAAAATGTATAATTATGAAGATCTGCAAAGTACATTTAGTTTGCAGATAGATTAGATCACAAAAAAAGTTAAACAATATCTTAATTTTCCTACTTTTCAGTGAATAGGAAAACGCTTTCCTGGCCTCTTTCCCTGTCTACTGTTCCCCCACCGAGTCCGGTCTCAGTCACTGCCACAGGAACGTTTGCTCTGACATCCTTACTACGCTGTACTTGCCCCAAAGCTTCCAGTGACCCTGCTCCAAACATTCCAGATAATCTATCCTACGGTACCATCGAGGAACGCTGCAGTGTTACTGCCTGTTCCTTTCCTACATAGTCCTCCCTCAAGCTAGATGGCTTAACATCCCATTTCCTCTTGTCCTGCTCTAGGTTTTCCTGTGCCAACATTTTTTTTTGTTTTCCTTTCATGTTATTCCAACTTCACTTACCTCTCCTTTCTCTCTCAACCCTGCCTCTCTAGGAAGCTCATTGACCAGTGTGCTATCCTCAGCCAGGGCTACATACTTTACCCTCCTTTACAATGATTTGGGCCATGAATTTAATATTTACATGCTGCCTGGGGCTGCAAGGTTTCGTTTTGTGTGTCACCACTATCAGATTATACAACCTCTTTGTAATCTCTACTAGTTTATGACCTCTTTGAGGGAAAGGATCATGAGTCATAACTCTCTTGTAACTCCTGAAGGCCTAACACAATGAGTCCAATAACAGGAATTCATTTAATCACTCTAGGTTCTCTTTTTTCACCTGTAAAATAAT